ATTTTTGGAGGAAGAGTACTCCAATAATTTGAAAACTGTAATTTTCCAAAATTACGGCCATTTCCGATAAAGTTTAAACAATGTTTAAAAACATAATAATTATGTACCAAATTTAATTCCAATGACGTTGAATATTTATGATTTATTTCAAATTTTTCTTATGCAATTTCATTGACAAAAGTGATGAGCAAAAATGTAAAAATTAAAAAAACAACTGTAAAAGGTACTTGGATATCCTTCAGAACATCGTGAGAGCCATTTTCTCATAAGGGAGAAAAATCGAGTTCGAGGGGACCCCTAACCCCCGCTTGGCCTATGGCTCGCGTGCTAGAAGCCCGCATTTCATTATTTATCATCTCCTAAACTGTGTTGTACAGCTAGTTAAAATTTTTTTCAATAGCTGGAGAATATTATAAACATTATCTATGAAACACATGGGGAAAATCGTAAGAAAACCCGGTTTTCCAGGGATATATCTTAAAACGTGATAAATTCTATCCGAAATTTCTTAAAGAAACCAAATTCATGAATAAGATCTGAAACATATAGTACATGAAATCAATTATCCTCATCTGTATATTTGCTAAATTTTTCTCTCTCTGATGCACTTCCATTTTATTATATTGTAATTAATTTGTTTTTTTTTATGAACAGATTCTAATGACCCCGGCTAAAAGCAAATTGACGATTAAAAAAAAAACAAATATTGAAAACGACTTGAGGAAAGAAAAATCGCAAAATCACTTGATTAGCCTTAACCGATAATTCCTTTCCATCCGCGTTCTTTCCCCCGGCAATAATCCAATCCCCTAATACCTGTGGAATATCCACCCATGCAGTTGCTGATTACAACGAAGGATAATTCGCGTAATATTTTTCCCCGCGTGTGGTAATAACAGAGCTCATCATATTGCGTGCTATAAGGATTGAATTGCTAATGCGGACGTGATTTCTAAGCAGCAGTGAATAGCGCGGAAAAAGGATGAAATGTTTCTGGGAATAAAATCATAAATAAATTACAGATATGGATTGGTTTACTTTCTAGGCTTGGAGACAAACGATCACGTGCTCACTCAATCCCTTGGATAATCCGATAGAATTAGACTACTGGATTTTCATTTTTTACGTACGAAAAAAATTTTGAGGAAAGCCCAACGCGGCGATGGAATATTCTATTGGATTTCTATTGAACTTTTGTTGGAAATTCTATTAGTTGTGGGGGATTTTATTGATGACTTTTGCAGTTCCACTGCGCGCTTTTTCTATGGAATATTTCCTACTTTCTATAGAATATTTTATATTTCTATAGAAAAAAATGCGCAGATTAGCTGCCGAATTTTGCAATAGAATCCAATAGAATCCCGAATTGCAATAGAAATCCAATAGACTTCTTCATCGAATTCGCTATAAAATTCTATTGAATTTCAATTCAAAATGCACATGTTTCCATTAATTTTTGGGTGATACTATTGAATAATTCTGTTGAAGCTTTCATTTTGAGAACTCACATTTATCGTGGCCTCAAATCCAGAATTGTGACCCCTTTCCCAATTTCAATTATGAAATGACGACCGTAAAATACACAATGTTTACCGCATTTCCCTTGGATAAAATTCCCAAATCCAGACGAAAATAAAAACGAATTTTCATTGAAATCAAATAAAACTGAAATTGCATTGTTCATGAACATTTGGGTTCAAGTTGAAAATTAATTCAGTAGCGAAGTGGTAAAACGGTTCAAGTCGACTCATCTCTTTGTTGAGTTTTTGAAGAATATCTCCGAATCTAAAGGAGATAAGGAAATTTTCGTAATAACCTTTTTTCTAGAACAAATTGAGTGCTACAAAAAAGGTTTTACCAAACATTTAGCTATCTCCCTCAGATTCCGCGATATTCACTAAAAACTGGCCAATAGTCAAAATCGACTTAAACCGTTTTACCACTTCACTGCTGAATTGAACACACACCCATCGTTAATCACGCCAAGGTGTCAGGTGATATACTTCTAATATCAAAGGGGATCTGAATTTCGGAGATATTTTGAAGAAATACTTGAAAAATGAGTAGATGAATTTTAGAACAGAAAAAATTATCAATTAGGCAACGAGAATTCTTCATTCAAGACTCAGGATGTTCTCAAAATAGTCAATCGAAGCAAATGTTGGTTAATTCAAATACAATTGAAGTTATACTACAATTAAAAGCCAAGTTTTTTCAACAAAATATCCATAACTAAATACTTCTCTATAGTTAACAAAAATCATCAAATGTTTTCACCAGTATGGAAACATAGAATTTGATTAAATCCTCTTGTTACCCCCAATCTCCCGAATTCTAATTACGAAATATCACCCATAAACCCACACATTCTCCTCATTTCGCGCGGATAAAATGCCCAGACCCCCCAAGAAAAAAAAATCGAATTTTCATTGAAATAAAAAAAACCCGAAGCCGGACGGTTTTTTCTCTCGGGTATATTTACTGCTCATTCACAGATATGGGAATCCGCAGAGCCTCAGGGCTTCGCCGCGCAATCGCCATCCTTGGCTCCGTAAAACTAGAGCGCCCGCTCCGAGTCGTATGTCCAATTCGCTATTTCCCGCCATTTTCTCCGTCTGCCTATGTAAATGTCCTGAGAACTCACGGAATCTCCCCCCCCCCTGCCCCTCTCAGCGGCGGGTAAAAAATTCAATTACAAATTTGACGTGAGACAATGAATCATGCAAAAAGGGTCGAGCCATTGTTCACCCGACACCCGATCCTAATCCCTCTCCTTTGTTATTCTCGGATATCTGCAAATAGTTGCTCATTCTCGAGTGTTATAACGCGTTACAAAATAATGAGAATCGTTAAACTTTCGCAGTGAGGGGAATTTTCGCAACGTCACACAACGAGAGCGCATTAACATCCACGAACAAAGTGGGGTGCACTCGAATAGTAAAGTAAAAAAAAATTTTAATAAAAAATATTGAGGACTAAATGTACGAGTTCAGCCGTGAGTTTATACTTTTTCAAGTCAAGAGGGGAAACGAGAGAGAGAGAGATTACGCAAAACTTGGTTCACTAACCGGGAGTGGTGAGTGGACCTGGCCTAGGGTAATTGCTAATGAGCCTAATATTGAAAAAAAGTTGGAACAAAGAATACGAGCTCCACCCCTCTTGCAGCTGAGGATGATAAAATTGGGTTATGATAGAATAATTTCTGGTGAATTCTTCAATAATGGTTTGTCAAAGACAAAATGGTAATTTTTTTATTTGTCATCTCCGGAGAAATATCGGATTTTAATTGAATAAAATTATTTATTTGAATTTTTTTTAGAGGTTTGGATAATTTTTTTGGTGGGAATGGATAGACTCAGATGTATTTATTTCTATGGGAATGGCTTAATGGTTTAATTAAGAAAGGAATAACTCATTAATTCAAAAAAATTAAGTGTTTAATTGAGTAAAGTGAACGATTTCTTTCATTCAAATTAAGTTTAAGTAAATTTTAATTGGAATAAATATTCTCACAGCGCTGTAATTGATGGATTTCATTTTTATTATTGACAATGTCAAAGTTTTAGGAAAATGTCATGATTATTGTGTCGAGAGTAATTATTCTTATTTGGAATAATTCTCCGTAAAGAAGAATTTTTGAAAATGATAATAAAAAGATCTGATTTTCACAAATGGACAATAGTATCAATCCTCCACGTTAAGGAAGAAATTCCATGAGGGGGAATTTCTACAGAGAATGTCTCGATAAAAAAAGTTGTACGGAATCGGTACAACTTTGTAAAATAATAGAATTTTCAATAGAATTTCAATAGAGGTCCAGCAGAATTTTAATGGATTTCTACTGAATTTTCTGGTAGTTTGTGGTCGATTCTATTGCAAAATCCCGCAATCTGCGCATTTTTTCAACAGAAAAATGCAATGAAAAATATTCTATAGAACTCATTTTAGTGGGATATTTTCTATAGAAACTTCTCGACTCAAATTTTCCAAATTTTTTAAATTCATCTTTCTAATGAAAGACGAAGAGAAATATTGTGGAAAAAACTAAGAATTTTTTTTTTCGAGGAATTTCTATACAAAATGTTTAATAGAAGCTATTTTATAGAAAAAATTACTCGAACTTCATCTTTTCCTATAAATATCTATAACTATAGTCACGACTATAGAACTACCTATGAATATAGTTGAATTATAGCCGAATCCATCAGTAAAAACGTTGAATGCATTATTCTAAAGGGAAAAGAGAGCAAAAATAGAGTTGAAAACCCGCAAAAAATCTGTGCAGGAATTCCTATAGAACATGTCTCAACAGAAAAAGTTGTATAGAAAAACGACATTCCACTGAAGTTTTCCATAAAATGATTTCTACAGATATTTTCCACAACAAACGCGCAGTGATGTGCCGAATTCTTCAGCAGAATCGCCAAAAAAATAATATAATTTTCAATAGAAGTTCAATAGAAATCCAACAGAACTCCACGGAATCCACCGGTTTTTTCAACGAATGTTTTTCGTGGATGTAGGCAATCGTAGTCTGGTTTTCTGCAAAAGGTGATGTCCGATTAGCAGTCGAAAACAAGGCGTTTAATTCGTGCCAAGGTATAGCCATCACCATTTAATGCCCCAACAACTCCCCGACCTTCTCCCAAGTTCTAGGGGACATGTTCATCATCAGAGCAGTGATGATGAATCCGTGAAAACCGACTGATTATGTCATCAGTCTGTCATCGAGAATCGCGGCAATCGGCTATTCATTTACCACTGAAATTTTCAATTTCGGGTAATTCAGGTGATTAATTGATGGGGTGATTGACGAGGGTGTAGCCAAGAATTAGCGAATAGTGAAAGGGGCTCTCCCCCTGGTTGCGTTCGTGTGCTAAGCCGTGTGCAGACCTGCTTCTGATCGGTATCCCCCCAATTCCCTCCAGTGTCTAGTCTGGGCAGGGCACTCCTATAAAAGCTAACGTCGCTGCCCCTAAACTACGTAGTGCTACCTGTGCTTCACACAAGAAAAACTCAATCAACATGAAATTCTTCGTAAGTTTGCGCTCTCCAGCAACTGCATTCACTTTCAATTTTACTCGATCATTCTCTTGGTTAATTGTAATAATTTTGAAAAATATGAGGGGAATGAGGAGCAGTCATTCGAGTCGTTCATTTTTTGGGAGTAATTTTGTCTCGTTTTCCTTGCAGATCGTTCTCTTCGCCCTTGTGGCCGCCGTCGCTGCCTTCCCTGGCTACGAGGTAATTAATATTCAATGATTTTTGGTTTTTATTGCGGGGTCATTGCTCGTGTCCCTGGAGGAGTGTCGAATAACAAAATATTTTTCTCATGATTAAAAGTCATTGAAGAGAAATTTCTGGGGAAATTGGCACTTGATTAAATTTTCCACGGTGAAAATTTTCAATGAATTTGTTGATATTTTTACTAGAGTTCTGGGAGGAAATTCTGAATTTAGGGGTAATTCAAATAATAGTTGCATTTGAATTTCGAATATTGTGAATTTGAGGTCAATCTGAAAATAAATTGGTCATGGAATTGGGAAATTCTCCAGCAAATTCCAAAAATTGAAAATCATATATAATTGAATTTTGAATGGATTGAAATTTTTTAGTGATTTTCGCTGTTAGGCGGTCGTGGCAGTTGCAATTTCATTGAATATTACAGAAATTAACTGAATTATCCAAAGCAACATGAGAATTTCAAGATTTTAACTCGAAATTTCTCAAGTAATTTTTTAACAATATAATTGTTGACTAAAAAAACATTTCGGTAATGATAAAAAGTAATTGTTCAGGAGTCAGTCACATGACGACATTGAGAGATTTAATTGAGAGATTTACAATTTTGATAAAATTGTCTCGAGTAAAAAATTTCCGTTAAATTTATTGAAATTTCTGTAAAGTTCTGGTAGAAAATCCTGAATTTAGGGATAATTTTTTCAGTGATTGGAATTTTTTGAAATTTAAATAACAGTTGCATTTGAATTTTCAATATTATAAATTCGAATTCAATTTAAAAATAAATTGTTAAATCACATGCAATTGAATTTTGAATGCACCGAGAGCAAAAATTATCTCTGCGGAAAAACTATATGTTCCACGTGAGGGAAATTAACCAATTTGATAAAAAAAGATTCAAGAATACATTGACGAGGAAAGAATATTGTTTCCCAAAAAAAAATTGTCCCCTCGAAATTATTTAGTTTTGCCAAAAACCCAGTTGGCAAAAAAATCGTAGTTTCCTCTCGTAATTATCATTTGTTCCGCGGAAATTACGAATGTATCCACCCGAAAGATATAAATATCTCACGAGACCAATTCCAACTACAAAAATAATCCCGTTCTGGTGGAAACTCTTTCTTGCCTCCAAGTAAATCAACTCCCCACAACAACTAAATTAATTCAAAAGATCTCTCCAGAGGAACATATAATTTTTCGCCATAAATTTCTCAACAATATCCCTTGTCCCGCGGCCCTGACAATTTCAATTCCCCCAAAAATCCCGAATGTTCTCCGAACTCTCCAAATCCCCGAGAAAATTTCACGAATTTCAACTCGAAATTCCCGAGTAATTCCTCACCGCCGCCCTAGGAATTCCCTCAGCTCATAAATCTCTGAATAATTCGGTGGAATGAAGACTCCTCATAACTCCCCTCCCCCGCGATTTCTTAACACCCATTGTCTTCGCGCCTCGTAATCCAACTAATCCACCCACAACCGTGATTCCGGCTGTCGCAACCCTTCTCTCAATTAATCCCGACTCGTCGGGCGGGCATGTCCGCATGCACACCAGCGTCTCTCAAAAATAATCCTCGAAAGCTCCCCCACGTCACCACCAGCATGCGCCCAATGTGACCCTCGCCAAAAGGACCTCGAAACCGGAATGATTCACCTAATGGCATGAGTGACCCATAACTCCCCGGCCAGAGTTCGCCTCCCCGATGGGCACTGGCTGTCTTCTCATCGTGATAACATGGTGGCCATCAGGTGATCCACTCCCAGAAGAGTCCCGAATAAGGCCCCCCCAAATTATCACTAGACTTTGTGCCGTCAAAAATTCAGGACCCCTGGCAGGGCTGGAACGCTTGGAAGCCAGTGGTGAAATCAGGCTGGCAATCGTCATGGCCCTCATCGGGTTGGCAGAAGTCATCGGGTTGGCAGCCAGCATCGGCTGGTTGGCAAAAGTCCGGCTGGCAGCCGTCAATCGGCTGGTCCCAGCCGTCTCACGGTTGGCAACAGCCCTCCCATGGCTGGCAACAGGTAATAAAACTCCAATCACGAGTGAAAAAAAAAAAATCCCGCACGATCAATCATCGCCCTGATTACGTACATTTCATCAGTCATCAAGGGGGATGACTAATCATCGACTTTTCCATCATTTCAAAACTGGTGAAAAATGCTGTCCCAGTCTTCCTACTTTCTCCACGTTTACGTCGCAAACTCTCTATAATCCGGTGTTATTCAACATGAAAATGCATCATCGCTGGATTCACTGATCATTCTGGCGCTCATTAACCGTTTCCTTCGCGATTGCAGGACGCCGCGGCAGTTGGTGGTTATTGTTAATTGGTTTTAATATTTATTTTCAGCACCACGCTCACCACGTTGACGCCATCCAGGTGCCCCAGCAGCCAGCCATCCCACCACTTCACCCTCACCCACTTCACCTGAAGGCACATGCTCATGTTCAGCATATTCCCTACCACCACGCGCACCCCGGGCATCCCCATCTCATCGGCGTTGAGCACGCCGTTCACGAGCCCGAGGTTAAGCACATCATCAAGCCCGTCCACGGTCACGGCTGGTAAATCAGGAAAGTCAATCAACAGATCCACACCGACCGGTCCACTGGTGATCCATCCATAATCGGGGAATCATTTCTCCAATGATTTTCTCATTATGCCGGGTTTCCGCATACTCGGGCTCTCACTCGTTCAACTGGCGCATTCCGAGAATTATGGAATTCGTCGTCAACTCTTTTGGATTTGTGAAAAAAATGTGACGGGACCTGGTGACATTCTCTTCATGGAAAAAACGAATTATTCAGCGCGGAAACGGCGGAGGTGGATTACGAGGGGACCTAGGACCAAGGCAACTTCAAGAGAAAGAAACACACAAAAGACACCTTTTCTGAGTCTCTAAAATTTCCCCGAAAAAAACACACATATAAAAAAGATGAAATCAAAATGATGAAAAATTTTTATGTCTCTCGTGCGGCATGTGATAGCGAAGAAGACATTGTACGCTCATTTATCCCCATTGTATATTTTTTTTTCTCCCCCACATATCATCCAGGACCTCGAGACTTTTATTTATTTTCTAATAAAAGCTTATTTTTATGTCTTGTGATACATTATTCTGATTTATTTGAATAATTCCTTGGCCCGCAATTCCTTGAACCTCAAGTATTTTCTATATTTCGTACGGTTTATTTTTGTTTTACACTTTTGAAAATTTTTGTTCCACTGAAATTTTAAAAAATTTCATCATTGCAAATTTAGAATTTCATGAAAAAATCCATGAGAACTGTAATTACTAGCTCAAACATTCACTAAAATTTAAAAGAAATCACTAAAATTTGGGTGAAACAATTCTTGAAATTTCAATTAATTAAAAATTCCCCTGCAATTGTATCGGAAATTCATCAGCATTCAATTTTAATTACTTCTAAAATACTTTTTCGTGGAATTCCAATAAAAATTCTCGCGCCTGAATTTTCTTACTACCTTTGACTTGAACTTCATAATGAGAAAAAAAGAAAAACACATCGAAAAAAGACTAAAAATTCATATTAAAAAATTTCTTCGGAAAACCTCTCAACAATTAAATAATATAAAAATAAAAAAGTCTATTTTTAATGGAAATCGGCGAGGAAGAGATGAAATTTCCAATAGAACTCTTATTTTTTCATTCAACAATCCCAATCTTTTCATAATTCCCTAATCAATTCCAGACAATAGCACATGTAAAGCTGTGAAATATAGATTTCTCCAGAAGATTCCACTGTTTTCAACACATATCCTCCATAAAAAAAATCATTACCTCCCAAACATTTTTTTAATTCCCTAAACAACAAAATTATACAGTTTAGTGTCACCAACGGATCCGAAGTAATAGCATCCTAACGTGGCCACTCATGCGACGGATGAACTCGCATTACCTACAAATCAATTTTCCGTGTTACCCGGGTAACCCGCGTCCAAACAAGTCACCCCACACTCGGCCGTTTCCACTTGCGTACGGGAAAGCACATCTTCCCGTCCAACATCGCTCATCACGTGTTATGCCAGTCTTATCGTGCGACACATGCGACAACAACGAAACTGCGGGTCTTCAGGGATAATGATCGTTGTTTTGTGTTTGCCCTTATTATTTATGAATTTTTTATCTGGTCAACATTGCAGGGCCCAGGGAAAGGGGCTGCAAAGGTTGATAGTTTTGGAGTTCTTCGTGGCACTAGGAAAGGGGCGCGCATGATTGACTAGTTATGTAAATTACTTCTGATCATTATTTATTCATTTATTCATTGATTGATTCTGAAAAACTGTCAATAAATACGCCCCTCGATTCACCCTGAATTATTTCTTCATTAAAGACAATAATATAATATAATATTACATATATAATATAATATTACATATATAATATAATATAATATAATATAATATAATATAATATAATAATATAATGTAATATTATATAATTATGAACTGATATGTGAAGTGAAAAGTAGAAAAAGCAAATCATCTAGAAAATGCGGATAAATTTTAATGTCTAAAATATAATTTAGTGAAACGTCATTTATGAACATTATATTGCGTGAAGAAGATTTTCCGCCCGTAAAATGAAAAATATATTCCCTGTTCCGAATTTCTGAGGTGCGCCGGCTGAAAATTTACTGCAAGGTGATCGGTGAAAAATCGATGGCCGTTACACAAAAATTTCTAGAAATGAGGCACTCATTTACGTTCTCTGGCGTAATTGTTGAAATGGAATTCCAGATAAATTTTACCATTTTAGGAGAAGTTGCGTGACAGCGAGTGGATCTTTTGGAGGAAGCGGGGGAAATTCATCATTCCTTTCGCATTTTTCCGCTTGATATAGAGTAAACAAGACAAAAACTGGAATTTCACTGCACGATTACGCGTATTTATCATTTACATCCATGTAAATAATAATCGTATGTAGTTGTCTATAGAGGGGTCGACAGCTAGTTTGAAACAACATTTTTGGTACTCAAAATCTCACGGTTTCATTGTTGAGCGGGAGTCTCGCAAGAGACGACTGTACCTGCGCAATAGGTACAGTCGTATACCTTCGATAGGTTTTTCGAATGGGTTGAAGGACTGAGAAACTATAAAAATCGAAAAGTATACGGTGAAATGGAAAAAAAATGTCATTTTATTCCTCGTTTTTAGGAGAAATGTATGTAATATCAATTCGAGGAAATGTCAAACGAGACACTATTCTTAAAAAAAATAATTGAAGAAACAACTTGATGGATCAATGTCCTAGACTCATCAAAGTTAGAATTCATGAGAAAAGCTATCAATTATTGACTATTTTTTTCGACCTTTGAATTCATTTTTTCTCGTTGCACTCAACCCCTCAACTGGATGATGGAGAAATTGTCCATGGATTGGAGTTTATTCATCCTACTTTAATGATCCATAAATCCATCAGAATGGTACCTAATTTTGTAATAGACCACCAGAATGACGAAACAGTGAAATAACTGGTGCATACCGACACCTATTCTTGTGGTCTTTCATAATGCATGGAATAACGCTATTGTTGGCTGGAACATGAGCGATATAAATGGAACTCACCATACGAAATTAATGGTGAGTGTTATAAATAGAAATCATATCGTGATAATATTGTTACTCACCTGGAACTTTGTATGGTATCCAAGACAGTCAATCGGGTTCATCCCCGTGTGGAATCGATAAGAGGATTGGCTTCAGACGGTACGATAAAAAAAGACAGGCTCATTCGGTTCTTGGGCGGTTGTAGGGCCTATTGTCTTGGCGAGTTGGTTCGTGCCAGGCGGTCTTTCTCTCCAAACTTTCGGTGATTTGAGCTGTCTCAATTTTTTTTGTTTAATTGGGGGGAAAGAATAGGAAAATTTTATTATTTTGTTTCGAAAAAATTATTTTTTATTACTATTATCATTGATTTTATCATTAATATATTAATTAATAATTAATTAGTACACGAAATTCATGTACTCATTGCATATGAAAGAATCAGTTTGTAGTTGAGTACTTGACATAAATTTAGAGACTTCCAATAATGAAAATTGCGTCAGACAAGTTCTCCAAAAATTTTTACAACATCATATGCCTATAAATGTAAATAAATGATTAATATTTTAATTGAATGCAATGAATCATCGAATTTAATTGAAAATACATCGTCATAGAAACTCCATTCTGAAGGCAATTGCTTATTTATTAGCTAAAATAGATTGAGAATGTTGTAACAACAGCAATTTCCCACTTGTTTGTTAAAGTATTGTATTATTGCAGTGTAACAGTGGGTAGAAATGAACGGACTGGATAGGCATTGGAGCACTGTGATTTACGTTTATAGAGTGAGACATATTTTTTTGCGCCGCTTATTTGGTGCCCTGCCATTGTTTACGTAATTTACGTAATTCATTGACTTCATTTTCTTAAAAATATCATTTTTCGATATTTCGTGACATTTTTAGAAAATTTCACTCAACTTTGGGGGCGAAATCACAATTACAAAGCTTTTAGTGGAAAAAAATGGTAAAATTTCATATTTCACTCAAAATTTAATGAAATTCCAAATTTCTGAGCAGCAGAAAGACGGGGATTTCCCAACTCCCTTAAATTTCCAATGAAAACACAAATATTCAGTGCCAAATTCCATTAAATTTTCAATTAATAGAGAATTTAAAAATAAAATTTCTTAAATTTCCCCGAATTTTACCAATTTTCATGAAATAATTGACCTGAAATTTACAGTTTCCATTGATTTTTCCATAAAATTTTGAATCTTCAGTGACGGAATTCTTTGAAATTTCAACAGAAATGCAAATTGATAAAAGTTTCCAAGAAGTGTACCGTCAATTTCATCCAAAATTTACAGAGCATTGCATGTCCACTTTGTTGTTTACAAAGTAATCCACAACTCGATAATTTTCGATAAGTACTCGAGCACGTACAATCGTATCAAATGCAGCCAAGCCTGATACACTTTCTCCCCTTCAACTCCTATAACAGTTATTGCTTTTACTCTTCAGTTGCACAGTCAAGCTGTTACGCGTATAATCCCGACTCTCGTTGAGAAATAGCTGGCAAAACTGTGTAATGCTCCCGTTATCCACAATGTTCACCAACAATACACCTGTATTTTCCAGTGAGTAATTGTACAAAATTTGGCACTGCCTCGTTGCCCGTATGTGCGGCGCACTTATGGAGTTAACCACCACTAGATCTGAGATAGAGTAATTCTATGTACTTATTTAATCCTAGATTGGTCACCATATGAGGGAAACACCGCAGCGCGTGAATTTTCTTCAATTATCGTTGAATGGCAACCGGAAAAATTGAAAAAAAAATTGACTTTCAATTGAAGTGTGTAAAAAATTATAGTAGTTTTGCATAATTTTCGAAATTCATGAAGAAAGCAGTTTATTTTCTACGGATGAATTATTTTCTCGTGTGTTAAGTAAAATTATGTCGCCCGTTATGCGACGTATGAAGATAAGGAAATAGTATATTCTATCACTTGTGTGGAAAGTGGGATTTTGCGCACGCGAAGCGTTCCATTGTGATGCAAAATAGGGTTTGACACTCGTGGGATAAGTGTTCTTTGATCCTTGGGAGGAGCACTCGCCTTCGGCGAGCGCTTCACATCTCTCACGAGTCAAAAACCACTTTTCTCACTAGGCCCGATAAACCGCGATTTAACCGAGCGAAGCGAGCGCACTTATGGAGTTAGCCACCATATTTAACCCTAATTGGTCACCATATGAGGGAACGCCGCAGCGCCTAGTTTTGCTTCAATTATCGTTGAATGGCAACCAGAAAAATTGAAAAAAAATTGACTTTTTCAATTGAAGTGTCTAAAAAATTATAGTAGTTTTGCATAATTTTCGAAATTCATGAAGAAAGCAGTTTATTTTCTACGGATGAATTATTTTCTCGTGTGTTAAGTAAAATTATGTCGCCCGTTATGCGACGTATGAAGATAAGAAAATAGTATATTCTATCACTTGTGTGGAAAGTGGGATTTTGCGCACGCGAAGCGTTCCATTGTGATGCAAAATAGGGTTTGACACTCGTGGGATAAGTGTTCTTTGATCCTTGGGAGGAACACTCGCCTTCGGCGAGCGCTTCGCATCTCTCACGAGTCAAAAACTACTTTTCGTCCTAGGCCCGATAAACCGCGATTTTAAATCTCGGTTTTCGGGCCCAATGACAAAATAGTATATTTCGTAACGAGTGCAAAACATTTTTTCACGAGTTACGAACAATATTTTTCATCACAATGTGGCGGAAATTGGACTTTTAGGCACGCGGAGCCAGAAAAGTTCCTCACGGCCTAGTGTCGAAATGTACTATTTAGTTATAGGGGCGGGTGGGGTAAAATGGACACGTTTGACTTTTTCAAAAATATTCATAACTCAGAAACAGATTTATCAGTTGACCTCAGTCTAAGCTCATCACAAAGAGGAATCATTGTTCTTTCAATTGAAAAATAAAATTACTCCATTTCATGAACAATTCAGCACGTCATGAACATTTTAAAAAAAGTCAAAAGGGTCCATTTTACCCCATCCTCTCCTAACGGCCGTGGAACGCTATGCGTCCGTAAATCGGTGCCTTACGGCCGAAATGACGAAAATACAATTAGATTACTCAACAGTTATAATTGCAATTGCTCAAATGAATAAATAAATAGGTACATAATCAAATAGAAAAAAAATCATAAATAATTAAAATACTATTAAATGAAACAAGGCGAAATGTTAAAAAATTCCAAATTGAATAATTGCTAAAGGCAGTCGCATGTCATTCTATATAAACATTGTAAAAAATGTACTTGATTGGTTTGTTTGCAGGGGATCATTTTATCCCAGGACTGAATAAAAAGCATTTTTATTTATCTATCTAACGACATTTATTATTCATTCTCTATTTTTCTCCTTTTAAGGATATCCAAGTGCTATTTTCATTTTAAATCATTTTATAATGATTTTATTATTTGAACTTTGCAGGTCTGAATTTGAATCTCGATATTGAACCGTTAGAAAACATTTTAAAAATCCGAAAAAAAATTGGAAAGTTTACGTTTGGAGAAACATTGACGAAATAATTTTAAAAACGTAATTTTCAAAAATTCCGAGCATTAAAAAAAAATTATGAACAATTAATTGTCTAAAAACTACTTGGATATCGTTAAAACTAATTTTATGTGAAAATAGCCATTTCAATACCGGTTATAACCCACCGTCGGCGCTCTTATTTGTTTTGACGTGCGTAACGATCTGAGATGATTACCAAATCGATCGGAGGGAGTTCGATCGAAGAAGAAGCGCCGCTGACGCTTGAAATTGTACAGCACTGGACACCTGGTTGTTCCACGCGGTTCCTTCGTGCCGTCAGTTCGATCCGGTCAGTGGGACAACGAGCATGAACCACCAACAACGTAAGTATCTCGCAAATCCATTTTAAGTGCACCCATTGGCATGTCATGACGGTAATTCGAATATGGCATGCAATTTAATTCTACTTGATGTTTATAGAGCATGAGTCACCGTCGGTTTACTCAATCGGTAGTAAAACTAATTTGGTTACGATCAAGTCGCGTGATGCCTAGTGAGTATTAATGAGAAAAAAATATTCTATATTATTTTTTTCATCGTCCCAAATATTTTAAATATATTGAAAGAAATTTTTTCATCTGCAGGGAAATTTTTCTTTTTTAATCCTTGCGGTTGAGCTTTCAATACAGATCGGGACTTTAAGATTTAATTTGTCGAAAGTTTTGCTGCAGAATTTTTTTTTTATTCATAAAAATAATTAATGCAAGATAACAAGGCAATTGAGGAAGAATTATAAAATAATTGATCTAAATTTTCAATTGACTGTGAATTAATTAATTGATAATTGGTATTGTCAATTGACTATTGAGTAAATAATTCGAAATTTGAATATTTAATTGATGATTGATTTAATGATTTAAAAATTGTTGAATAACATTAAGCAGTTGACTAATTAAGAACTTAATCGTTGCGGTTGAGCTTTCAATACAGATCTGGACTTTAAGATTTAATTTGTCGAGTTTTGCTAAACAATTTCACATATTTTTTTTATTTATAAAAATAATAAATGCAAGATAACTAGTAGACAATTGAAGAAGAATTATAAAATAATTGATCTAAACTTTCAATTGACTGTGAATTAAATAATTGATAATTGGTATTGTCAATTGACTATTGAGTAAATAATTCGGAATTCGAATATTTAATTGATGATTAATTTAATAATTGAAAAATTGCTGAATAACATTAAGCAGCTGATTAATTAAGAAATTTAACTTTATTTAAGATTTATGATCATGCCACTGTCTGTAGAAAAAGTCAATAGAATTCCATTTTTCTATACAACTTATTCTATTGAGATATTTTTCTAAAATTCCTCGGCTCAAATTAAAATTTTTTATTCCATTTTTCTTTTCTTACCAAGAAAATCAAACAATAAAAATTGAAAAATTTTAACCGAGAAAATGCTATAGAAAACATCTGAATGGAATAAGTAAAATAGACAAATTGAATTCTATAGAATTTTTCTAGAAAATCTTTTTTATTGAACATTCAAATAAATGAATTTTTTTTCATTCGATTTTTCTTTTCTTTTCGTGAAAAAACCTGCAAAAAATTTGAAAAATTTGAACCGAAAAAATTCTATAGGAAATATTTGAATGGAGTAATAAAAATGTTGTATAAAAAATCTATCAATAGAATAATGTTAATAAAAAAGATAAGAAAACAACGAATGTCACAATTAATCGATATTTCCGTGTCTTCAGCTTCAAAAAAACACGAAAGAAAACAATATATTTCCTGGCGATAGCATCAGTTTTAATAGCGGGTTTGATTGCCAGTGTTATTACCCTTGGTATTCTCTGTACGTATGAAAATCGAATGACAAATTGATACGAATCGAAGAGCATTGAATAATTCACCCCCTCGAAACCCTATTTCCAGACTCAAGAGTGAAGGCTGCCCAGCCCATATGCGACACCGAAGAGTGTGTCAGAATCGGTGAGCTCCGAAACTTATCATAAATTTAATTATCCTTGATAGAAAAATGAATTTTTTGTTTATACTGAAACAACAATATGGGTATTGGGGTGCTAAATATATTTATATTTAACAAGCTGCAAGTTTAAAAGAGTCTATGGACACGTCTATAGATCCGTGTGAAAACTTTTACCAGTGAGTACAGTGAACTTATGCTTCTTACATTGATTTATTAATGAGGTATTTTCAAGGCCGATTGAAGTTTCTGGACAATTGATCGGGGAACTAAACCGTGCTATTAGTTGTTCTCGGGTGTATAATCAACTTGATTTGCTTTTGATTGAGTGACGAATGACTTGTAGATACGCGTGCGGAAGGTGGTCGGAGAATCATCCGACGCCGGACACCAGTATGATGTACTCGTGGTTCAGTGAGAGATCGGACAAAGTTACGTGGAAAGTTCGAAAGCTTTTGAGGGAAAATTTGACTGACGTACCTTGGGCCGTTTCACAGGCTAAAATGCTGTACAAGAGTTGTGTTCATACTGGTAAGGGGGAAATTAATAGTATATTTCGTCATTAGGCCGAAAAAAACTTTTCTAAAAATAGTATTTTTCCGGCCTGTTGCGATGGGGTTTTTTACTCGTGTGGCGTTGGCTTCCGAGCCGTAGGCGAGGACTGGCCAACCAGACGAGTAAAAATGGATTTTTAAGGTTTATCCCAAGACAATACCACGCAGAGGTAGTCTGATGGATTTCCGGAAAACATTCTGAATGACTTAACTTGTGGCAACAATAACTCTTTGAATCAAATATTATATTATTACATGATACGAATTCGATAAAATTTTTAGTCTCCGATTCTCAAATTCTGTCGTTTATTCTATTCATTCTATAAAAAAACACGGATGGAAATCGAATTTACGGGTATTCATCTACTATTCGAAAAAATATATCTATTTTAAAACTTTCCGGAGACATTGAAAAATTATTTTTTTATTTCTTCCCGCCTACGTTTTTTTGCCTTTTAGTCATAAGCTGTATGTATAATATACATAACATGTAGATAATGTATATAAGTCCTACTCACATTTCTGTGATTTAGCAATGATTTCTTATCACTCCAGCCTTCATGGATTCCCTCGGACTCACTCCGCTGTTGAATCTCCTGAAAGAACTAGATTTGCCACAAGTGCCTGCCGTTCTCGGTAAAGAGGATGGGAATTTCATCGAAAAAATCGGAAGGATCAGGCGGGTCCTCGGGAAGGATGTGTTCATCGGATTCAGTGTCATTCCTGATCCCAGGAATCATAGCCGAAATGTCATCATTCTGGATACACCTTCGTCAGTGAGTCCTCTGCCTGGGTGGGTTATTATTAATTAATCATTTCGAAAATGCATTTTGAATGGGGGAAAATGCTGAATCTCAATTAAAAACGCTCTTTGAAAAGTTCAGAATTGTTTCTATTTTTTTCTTTCATTCTATCATAATTTTTGGGAATTTCTACATGATGTACCACGCAATTGACAATTTTGAATTACGAAAGATAAAAAAAATCCAGATAACATTCGAAAGATAGTACACCCGGGCCTTAAGGTATATCTTTAGAAAACAGCTTTTACTCACGATTTTTTTATTGCAATTTTTTTAATTATATTTTTTTCTTTCGATTGTCCCCATGTTTTTCGTAGATAATGTTTATAATATTCTCCAGCTATTGAAAACTATTCACAACAATTTTTATTGATCGTTAACGGAATTCCCCTTCATTCATTGTTGTAACTTGCGAATTAAGAAAATAAATACATAATAATAAGAATAAGAATGGACAAAATTAAATTAATTTAATTGTGAAGACGGGAATGGAAAGAAAATAAAATAAAATAGAATAATATTAATTAATCGTGCGACGGGCGCGAAGCGAATATATTAGATACTTTAGGACATGATAAATGATGAAATGTGGGCTTCTATAAAGCTGTTGATGTGTTCCAAATATTTGAAAGAAGAAATATAAATTTTTCTGGATATTTCATTCACGAATTTTTTGTGTGAAAACAAAAAATGAAAAAAAAAACATCGGGGTTCCCTCATTATGTGACAACTTAAGGGTTAAAGGGAAGCTTCGATACAATCGAATGAAGAAATGACAATCCAATAAAATATATAAAAATAATAATGTGATAACGACATTATTATCATTCCAGAGACAGAGAGATTGAAAGGAGATTGAAAACTATCCGAACTAGAATGGCCAGATCAGCATTATATGGGGAGGAGGAGGAGGAAATAATGCATCCAGCGGAACTAGAGAAAGCTTATATCGCGGCGGTACTGAGAGAAGTAATCAGGAATGGTACTTCCTCGTCCTGCAGTTCGTCTAATGTAATTTTATCGGAAGACGATCCGATTGCCAAAGCGGTGAACAGTATATACGAGCTGACTGCGATGTTCTATTATGTACGCAGGATTTCATGGATATATTCACTTATCGAATATAACTACGAAATAGTTTTGTAGAAAAAGTCAAAGTCAATTATGTTGGAAACTCTATCAGTTTTTCTTGGATTTTATTGAAAAAAATCTGCAACTTTTGAGCCAATTTTTTTCAATAGAAATGTTGAATAAAAAATATTTCCTTGGAAAAATCAATTTGATGAATTGTAGAAAAACATCTGATTCGAAAGATTTTTTATAAAAAATTGTGTATTGTAAAAAACCAAAAAAAGCGGAAATCGTCAGCAGAATCAGCGAGAAATTAATGGAATTTCCGATTTAATTGAAAAAATCCGCATCTTTTGTGCCTGTTTTTTCAACAGGACAATATTTTCTTGCGAAAATTAATAGAATTTGATTTTTCTATAGAAATTCCTGGTTAAATTTCCAAGTTTTTAAGGAGAAAAAATAAGTTGAAAACGTTTATCAAATTAAAATTTATGTCGAGGGATTTTATAGAAATAAATATCTCAATAGAATGAATTTTAGGAAAAAATAAAATTCTACAAACTTTTCTTGAAAATTGTTCCTATTAAAAAAAATTAATAAATTGAAAAACTGATAAATTTTAAAAAATTGATAAATTGATCATTTTTTTTTTCAATAAAATTTCCAATGGTAGTCCAACAGAAATCCAATGGAAATTCGTAGCATGTGTGACGGCACTTTTGCTGCCATTTTTACCCGCGCCATGCACTAATGGAAGATCTTATCACTCATTTCCTGTACTACAGATGGCTCGAGAAGATAGAAATGAAACACTGACCGAAGAAGACGTCAGGGATGAGGACTACATGCTCGTGGATGATCTCCAGAAACTGACTGATAGTTATGTAAAACATGAAAATTGTTCGTTGACTCCGCGAAAAATCTGGCGGCCGTATATCGAAGAAATATTCCGCGGCGTTGTCGAGTTGGATTTGGATAACAGGGACAAAATCCTTGTCGCGAATTTGGGATACATGAAAGATCTGGCTGTTCTGTTAGCCACTACTGACGACGATAAATTGGGTAGGTGATATTTAAAGTATCTCTACCCTTACGGTAAATTCCAAGATTATTGAAAACTGGGAAAAAATTGCAGAAAACTCGATTAGATTCGGAATTCTAATTTTTTTCTCAATTTAATTATCGTTTTGGTTTCACACAATCGTTAGTTTTTGGCCAATTCAATTGAAATGTTCAATAGAAAATATTCTATTGAAAAAGTTTACAGAATTCGATTTTCTATACAATTTGTTCTATTGAGATATTTTCTACAGAATTTCTTTGACTCATCTTTTCTGTTTTTTTATTCTATTTGTTTTCTTCTCATCAGGACAATTTAACAAAATAAATAAAAAATTTGAGCCGAGAAAATTCTATAGAAAATATCTCAATAAAAATAGTTGCCTAGAAAAATCGAATTCTATTGACATATTCTATTTTTCTATAGAATATTTTCTATAAAAGTTCAATGGAAATTCAATACAATTATCTAGCGAATTCTCTACGTTTTTCTATGAAATTTTTTCATATGTGATCTTTTTTTATCTTAACTGTTAAAAAATCTCTTTACTTCCTTCTTAGAGAGCGCTGTGTGGTGGACCGTCGTGGACCTCGTTGCTCCCCATTCCTCGACCAATTTGAGACGAATTTGGTCCGAGTATATTAACAAGTTGATACACATCGAGGACTCGACGCCGAGGTCTATACACTGTGCTGAAGTAGTTGATTATATGATGGGTAATTGCATGCAAATTAGTATTTTTGTTGGCGAGGAAGAGTCTTTCATTGTCAGAAGCTGTTTACGGAATTTCAAAATTATGAAATTATATTATTAATTATATTATGTTACGGAAGACAAAATTATGGGGGAGATCAGGGCAAAATAAAATAATGTGGAAACCACCCCGAATTTCCCTATACAATTAAGGACGAAATTTCAGGTGAAAAATCTTCTGAAAGAACTTTTGAGAATAGAAAATTGGAGTTTTTTTAAAAAGAATTTTAAACGATTGAATGAATTGAAGTGAGATAGAAACTCGAAACTTGGTAGGACTCTAGGTCTTGCAAATAACAAAATTTCCGAATATCTCTGAAACTGATCTCATTTCAATTCTCCTTTTTTCAAAACTAGATTAATGCCAGCGCGTATTTCCAACTCCACGAGGCTTAATGTATGTCATTAGATTTTCCCGAATAATTATAGCATACATTAAAGATATTACGACAATAGTATTCTATATTATATTCTATACTATACAATACTATATCAGTAGTGAAGTGGTAAACCGGTATAAGTCGATTTTGACTATTGCCCAGTTTTCAATGAATATCTCGAAATCCAAGGGAAATAGCCAAATTTTTGTCACAACCTTTTTTGTACAGCAAATTGAGAGCTACAAAAAAGAAAATTACAACAATTTCGCTATTTCCCTTAGATTCCGAGATATTTATTGAAAACAGGCCAACAGTCAATATCGACTTATACCGGCTTACCACTTTGCTACTGATATATACTGTGTATAATATACAATATATAATAGAGTACTAAATGTATTATAAAATATAATATATATTATAAAACAATTAACTAATAAACTGATAATAATAATAACACATATTGAGTATACGATATTGTGGTATATTACACACGCGATTATATATGCATGATGTATTATAATATAGTATCATCGTAATATCTTTAATCTATGCAATTATCATCTATAAACATCTAATGCCACAATACAACGAATAGATTGGCTTCAAAAAAACGTTACACCGGATTTTTTATTGAAGGATTTTCGTCTTATTTTTCAATGTCACAGGAATGGCAGTTTCCTGGCTGTTTGTCGATCCGAAATTCTCCACCGAGACTGCTCCCAAAGTCGCGGAGATGCTGGAACACATCCGAACATCATTTGCTTCCCTAGTGACGACTACAGCCTGGATGGACCAGAAAACCAAGCTTTCCACCCTCGAAAAATCGAAAAAAATGGTGTACGTCATAGGGCATCCGGATTGGCTGTTCGATGAAAAAATCTTGAATGAATACTACGAAGGGGTGAGAAGACTGAACTTTCGCAAAACTAATATTCTCGGGATAAATCTCCTGTTGAATGGAGCTGCGATCGGCAAAAATCGTGCCAAATCATCTTGCTCGTAATGATTATTTTCTCATTACTGTAAATTCGTTTCAGTGGGTCCATATTTCATTATGTAAACACAATTTGCATGTTTTCTTTTCCACTGTGTTTCTCAATCAGGAATGGACCCTCGGGATCATCATCAGTTTCTAATTTCTAGAATTGAGTTTTTGTGCCCATTTCGGGCAGAACCTGTAATAGTCCCGAGGCAACTCGAGCCATCACTTTTTCTCGTCTCAGGGAAAACCTCCAGGCATGAGATGAGATGACGAAATCCCCCTAGAACTTGACTTTCCGGTGTTATAAACTCTTCGTCGCAACGATACCATCGGGAAATATGTTGATAATTTTGAAAGTTCAAGGCATTACTACATTGAAAATATAAAATAATATAAAGTTGGGTTGATCAATCGATGTGGAGGAAGAAATTTGTTCAGAGGGGAGGGTAAACTCATCAAAATCCATTTTTGTTTACATTAAAAGTGAAGTAATAAAGTCATCAGCACGATAAATAAAGCGCAAATAAATTAACGAAGAAAATATCACCGAACACAAAGACTTGAAGTATTTTGAAGCAGGGATAGCCAAATTTGTAATATTTTATTACGGTTACTATTGTAGCCCTTAATTAGATAACATCATTCTTGAAATTTTTTGAGTACTTAAGCATCATCAATTCAAAATACTCACATTTTCAAGTATTTTATCAATCAATAATTTGAGGTAGGCAATCGAAAATCCCCTTTCAAGAAATTTGAATTATTCACTTAGTTGCAAATTTACAGTTTCATATTAACAAATTTTAAATATACAATTATTCGTAAAAAATCAGGTTATTAACATTATATTATTTGAAAAATTGAATCAACATATTTTAAACGGTCAATAATATAAGGGTCAAATCCTTGTAATATTACAGAAATTTAATATTGATGGGGATCCCTGTTTTGAAGAGTGGTCCCCGTCTTTCCGCATGTAAACCGTCAATTAAAAACATATCCCTTCATCAATTGAATTTCAGATAGAAATGAGGGATGACAGTTACTTCGACAATATGCTGTCGATAGCACGAGTGATCAGCAAAACGGTGATAGAGGAAGTCCACCAATCGAATGAAATGAATGAGACATAGTAACGAATTCTCAATTCTATTGAACTATCCCAGGGGCTATTCACATGCGTAATCATGGTGTCACTCGCTGATGTAATCAATTGTAATCCCAGTAAAATCAATGTAATCATTGTAATCACATGATTACCATATTTGTAATCAAGTTTTGGTAATCAAGTGGTTATCATTTGTAATCACTGAATAGCTCCTCGGAACTATCGGCCACCCTTGAATATCAATAATCATTAACGCACTTTGATGTTAACAGTTGGGCCACGGGACCCACAGATGTGAACGCTATCTACACAGTCGTCGCCAATCACATAAGTAAGTACTGAAGACAGCAGATCGAAATAATTACAGCATAATACATGAACTCATCCAAACAAACATGTTCCGAACGGACGCAGCAATACCCGCTGCAATTCTGCAATTTCCATTCTATGAGTTGGGCCTGGAGTAAGCGAAGGAAAACTCTTCAACGATTGAGGAACAGTTTAATAATCAGAGATTTGCTTCCAGAGCGTTGAATTACGGAGCGATTGGAACTATTCTGGGCCATGAATTGACGCACGGCTTCGACAATAGTGGCCGGCTCTATGATGGGGATGGAAATCTTCGGCAATGGTGGAGCAATGACACGATCCTAGAGTATAAGGACAAGGTGGAGTGCTTCGTCCAACATTACGGAAGCTACTACGAAGAGGAGGTGAATGCTCGTTGATGAAACGCACGAAAAAATTTGATAGAAAAATCTGGCGAATTCGGTAGACTAAACTGGAGTATCAATCATTAATTTCCGATACTCTCAACTGCAACCATTTTTGTATAAGACGAAATGAAGTTTTTATGCCTGTATAATTATTTGAATAGGAAATTTATCAATTTATCAATTTGAATTCTTCCAGTCTTCTAACTTTGTAACTGAATTATTGACCGATAAAATAATTCGGCATTTGGATATTTTAATTGATGATTAATTTAATAATTAAAAATTGTAGCATTTAGCATTCCACTGGATAATAAATCATTGGATTCTTCAATATTAAGAAACAATGAACTTTCCATTGATTAAGGTATATAATCATTGAAATGAAAAAATAGTAAAATAGTTGAGTATCTAAATTTCCAATGGAAGATGAATTAAATAACTAATAATATGGAATTGTCAATTGTCTATTGAGTAAATAACACTAAATTTCATAAAAATGATTTTCGATTAACGAAATAACCGTCAATCTTCCCAACTAAATTATTGATTGATAAGACAATTCGGAATTTTTAATTAATTTAATAGCTGAAATTAATTGACAATTAAAAATTGTCGACTGATACTAACGAATTGACTAGTTCAAAGTTCAACGGTAATTCTAATTTATGATTATGGCTATCTCTGGATATCCCCAATATTTGTTTACGATTTGATCATGTCTAAGATGAATGAAGATGGCAATCAATGCGTCCTATTTATTCACGAGTAATGTTGGTAGCATCTTCTTCTTGAAACGTGTCGATGTCCGGAAATTTTGATGCTAAATTTTCAGGGTTATTGCTACAACTCCCCTCAAGATCGGAAAATCCATAAATTAACCGCCAATCAGACTTCCTGCTGAATTTAATTAATCTCTCATCTTCGTTTTCATTGATATTCCACAGGTGGATGAGCACGTTGATGGTCAACTGACCTTGGACGAGAATATTGCGGACAACGGTGGTCTTCGTGAAGCCGTCCTCGCATATAACAGTTGGAAGGCCCAACACGGTCAAGAGCCCATGCTGCCGGGTTTCACTCATCTGACCCACGAGCAGTTGTTATTTTTAGCCTTTGCTCACGTAATAAGTGCCATTTGTTTACCCAAAAAACACCAATCTCTTCCCACGAATAATTTAGCCGTTAATTTATTGAAAGTATAGAACTACTCACGCATAATACCTCGATTTCTTAATGATTTATGGTTTTTGTTGTCGTGTATTTTTTACGCCCCTTGCATAATGATGATTAATATCTTTCGTTACTCCCGAAATTCAGTTGTGGTGCGGAGCTTACACTCCCGAGTCCCTGAGGTGGATGCTCGAAGATTCACATTCACCAGGACATGTGAGATTGAAAGCGGTGTTGACTAATTCGGAGGAGTTCAGTGAGGCATGGCAGTGTCCTGTCGGATCACCAATGAATCCACGGAAGAAGTGCCGCATTTGGTGAATATCATCCAATTCCAAAGACATTGTGATGAGAGTGCAAGTTGAAAATGTTTTTAATAAAAGAGTTTTATTTACGTACGAAAATGTGGTCTTCCATTTTTATCTGTTTTTTACGTTTTGTCTTGCATAATAGGATTATTTTTTTCATCCCTGCCGAAACTCGATCCCGAGTCGAGGCTTTGGTTCTGAAAAAGTGAAAACTGAAAAAGTTTTTTTTTCAGATTTTCAAAGGGGCAGATTTTCCGTTTTTCCAGGGGGAAAGTCGACTTTCGCCTAAATCGAATTTTTTAGCCGGGAGAACGTTGATTCCAACTATTTAAGCGACGGGCCATTCAGAACTCTCAAAAGTATGTGGAAAAAGGGAAAACTGAAAAAGTTTTTTTTTCAGATTTTCAAAGGGGCAGATTTTCCGTTTTTCCAGGGGGAAAGTCGACTTTCGCCTAAATCGAATTTTTTAGCCGGGAGAACGTTGATTCCAACTATTTAAGCGACGGGCCATTCAGAACTCTCAAAAGTATGTGGAAAAAGGGAAAACTGAAAAAGTTTTTTTTTCAGATTTTCAAAGGGGCAGATTTTCCGTTTTTCCAGGGGGAAAGTCGACTTTCGCCTAAATCGAATTTTTTAGCCGGGAGAACGTTGATTCCAACTATTTAAGCGACGGGCCATTCAGAACTCTCAAAAGTATGTGGAAAAAGGGAAAACTGAAAAAGTTTTTTTTTCAGATTTTCAAAGGGGCAGATTTTCCGTTTTTCCAGGGGGAAAGTCGACTTTCGCCTAAATCGAATTTTTTAGCCGGGAGAACGTTGATTCCAACTATTTAAGCGACGGGCCATTCAGAACTCTCAAAAGTATGTGGAAAAAGGGAAAACTGAAAAAGTTTTTTTTTCAGATTTTCAAAGGGGCAGATTTTCCGTTTTTCCAGGGGGAAAGTCGACTTTCGCCTAAATCGAATTTTTTAGCCGGGAGAACGTTGATTCCAACTATTTAAGCGACGGGCCATTCAGAACTCTCAAAAGTATGTGGAAAAAGGGAAAACTGAAAAAGTTTTTTTTTCAGATTTTCAAAGGGGCAGATTTTCCGTTTTTCCAGGGGGAAAGTCGACTTTCGCCTAAATCGAATTTTTTAGCCGGGAGAACGTTGATTCCAACTATTTAAGCGACGGGCCATTCAGAACTCTCAAAAGTATGTGGAAAAAGGGAAAACTGAAAAAGTTTTTTTTTCAGATTTTCAAAGGGGCAGATTTTCCGTTTTTCCAGGGGGAAAGTCGACTTTCGCCTAAATCGAATTTTTTAGCCGGGAGAACGTTGATTCCAACTATTTAAGCGACGGGCCATTCAGAACTCTCAAAAGTATGTGGAAAAAGGGAAAACTGAAAAAGTTTTTTTTTCAGATTTTCAAAGGGGCAGATTTTCCGTTTTTCCAGGGGGAAAGTCGACTTTCGCCTAAATCGAATTTTTTAGCCGGGAGAACGTTGATTCCAACTATTTAAGCGACGGGCCATTCAGAACTCTCAAAAGTATGTGGAAAAAGGGAAAACTGAAAAAGTTTTTTTTTCAGATTTTCAAAGGGGCAGATTTTCCGTTTTTCCAGGGGGAAAGTCGACTTTCGCCTAAATCGAATTTTTTAGCCGGGAGAACGTTGATTCCAACTATTTAAGCGACGGGCCATTCAGAACTCTCAAAAGTATGTGGAAAAAGGGAAAACTGAAAAAGTTTTTTTTTCAGATTTTCAAAGGGGCAGATTTTCCGTTTTTCCAGGGGGAAAGTCGACTTTCGCCTAAATCGAATTTTTTAGCCGGGAGAACGTTGATTCCAACTATTTAAGCGACGGGCCATTCAGAACTCTCAAAAGTATGTGGAAAAAGGGAAAACTGAAAAAGTTTTTTTTTCAGATTTTCAAAGGGGCAGATTTTCCGTTTTTCCAGGGGGAAAGTCGACTTTCGCCTAAATCGAATTTTTTAGCCGGGAGAACGTTGATTCCAACTATTTAAGCGACGGGCCATTCAGAACTCTCAAAAGTATGTGGAAAAAGGGAAAACTGAAAAAGTTTTTTTTTCAGATTTTCAAAGGGGCAGATTTTCCGTTTTTCCAGGGGGAAAGTCGACTTTCGCCTAAATCGAATTTTTTAGCCGGGAGAACGTTGATTCCAACTATTTAAGCGACGGGCCATTCAGAACTCTCAAAAGTACGTGGAAAAAGTGAAAACTGAAGAAGTTTTTTTTTTCAGATTCTCAAAGGGTCAGATTTTCGCTTTTTGAGGGGACACACCTATCGATGTTCTAATTGAATATATTAAAAGGCAGTAATCTAACTCCTATATGACTCATTGTTAGTCCGATCCTATATCTCTTGCACTTGAGACCGACAACGAATGGGCCAATCCAATTATTTGCCTTTATTGCTTCCGAATGGAAGCATTGTATTCGTCAAATCCGAAATTTTCAATTTTTTGTGCCAGGATAACTAATTTTGACCGCAGGAGTTCGATCATGAGATTGATTCTCTCATCTCTTGTTAAAAATTTATTTTGAAACCAATATTCACGGAAAGGTAAAAAATTTTAATATCTGGGTAATGTTGGCTGCCAACTTTGAGGCAATGTTGAATTCAATGATTTATTGAATTCAATTTAAAATAGAATCTCAAATAAAACTCCATTCAGAAGCGAATTGCTAATTCATTACCAAAAATATATTGCATATACATGCATTTGGTGAATGCGGCATTCAAAGACAGGAGGAATGACAGCTGAAAAAATGTTTGTAAGAAGAGTTTTTTTTTGGAGTTTTATTTACGTACAAAAATTACAAGTTTCTTCTTACAAATAGTTAGCATTTTTTTATGGATTCACCTGTAGCCAAATTCTGGATGGCACATGACGTAACGCATTAAGAGGCAATCCGCTGGTCTTGTTGGGAGTTCTCAACTCTTCAATTTTCATCTCATTAATTCATGTCGATGATGCAATGCGAAAACAATTTGTGCTACTTGAATCGATTTCATCTGAGATTAAAAAAAAACTTGGTGCCGACAAATGCCTTGCGAAGAAGAACATCCTCCTGGGCTTTTTAGTAAACGTATCCGCCGTTGGATCCAATGAGTTGAGAGGATCCTTGGCTTGATGACTGGCTATCGAAGCCTGAGTCTTGCACCTGTGGTGCCTGGAAAAATGATTGAATGTTAGTATAATCGGAGGATGAGTCTGCGATGGTTGCGGCATTATTTTCGAAGCTTGAAAGATTATCAACCGATTGACTGAAGCTGATGGTCTCGTATTCTGATGATTGGCTGGATGCCTGGGGCTGCTCGTATGCTGGCGCTGGGGCGGCCTCAACTGTTGGGAGTGACAATTTCCATTCATTAAATTGTGAAATAATATTCGTATATTGATATTAATTATCCTGATGTCGAGAGTAGGATGGCTTGTTTAATTCTATCGAGAGAGATATTTTCTTGAGATTATTTTTGCGGTACGATTTTGACCAATAGAATTGCACAATTTTATGTCACGTGATATAATTCGACCTATTGCTCAATGTGGACTAATGGTTTGTTCCGGAGAAAAAACTGTGAAACTAAAAATGTCCTTTCAAGCGAATGGCTTTTAAGTTGAGCAGTGAAATTCATTGTCGCATTTATGGTTTCCAGTAATGTGTTGGTTTTAGATCCTGATAAAGGTTAACCCTCAAGTGCTCGCACAATGGGGGAATCCCCGCCGTTTTTCGATTTTTTTTCTCTCATGTAAAAACTTCGTGAGTGAAAAATTGATAAAAATTTGGATTTTTACTCTCAATTCTGTGGTGAATTGGTAAACTAGGATAAGTACATTTTTCTCGAAAATGGGTTTTTTTGGTTAAAGCGTTTCTCAACAAATTGTGGAAGCGATTTAGCAAAAAAAATCTTTCGAAGAAAATTGCACTTATTCTAGTTTACCATAAAATTATATTGAACACATTAAGAATTGATTTTGGTCCAGATTCACAAATAATCTATTAAAATGCTTTGAAAACTCGATTCGCTAAAAATCCCCGTGTTTAACCTCAAAATTAAACCTTTTTGCGTCTACTAAGATCGAGTTCTTAGTTTATCAATAACAGTTCCTCGTTTATATCTCCGTTTCTTATGTGTTGAAGGTTCAAAATCACTCATACCCGTGAAATTAATATTTTTGCCGACTTTTTTTTCTTCATGAAATCGTAAACTACGCGGGGAATCCCCGGATTCTGTTACCATGCGACCAATTACGTTCGGTGAAGATCGCGACCACTCGAGGGCCGACAAAAGGCCGCTTACTTTTCAAAATCAAAGGACATTAATCCCCAGGAAATGACAATAAAGATCAATGTGCTCTTTGATTTAAAAAAATATTAATAACTTTGAGCAAGAGGAACCACAAACCACAGGAAACCCATGTCGGTAAAGGCGGTTACTCTATTAGCAACCTCTCGCTCACCAGAGCCTCAGGTTAAAATATTTAGTTCCACTTGGGATCAAATTCGCAACCCACAATCTCTCAATCCTCCATTGAGGACATAATTTGATATGACTGAGGAAGGTGATGAGAAGAAACATGGCTAGTCTCTACATACCGTGGACGGCAGCTTGGGCTGGCTGGTAGCTCTGGACTGGAGCTGGCTGGTAGGTCTGGACTGGTGCTGGGGCTGGCTGGTAGCTCTGTACTGGAGCTGGAGCTGGCTGGTAGCTCTGGACTGGAGCTGGGGCTGGCTGGTAGCTCTGGACTGGAGCTGGAGCTGGCTGGTAGCTCTGGACTGGAGCTGGCTGGTAGCTCTGGACTGGAGCTGGAGCCGGTTGGTAGCTCTGGACTGGAGCTGGCTGGTAGCTCTGAACTGGAGCCGGGGCTGGCTGATAACTCTGAACTGGAGCTGGGGCTGGCTGATAACTCTGAACTGGAGCTGGGGCTGGCTGATAACTCTGAACTGGAGCTGGGGCTGGCCTATAACTCTGGACTGGAGCTGGTGCTGGCCGATAGTTCTGGGCTGGTGCAGCGGGAGCGAAGTACTGTCTAGAAGCCTGGGGAGCGGATTGTCTTTGCTGAACGGGAGCAGGGCGGGACTGTTGAGCGACTGGAGCTAGGTACTGCCTGGACTGCTGGGGAGCGGCTGGGGCTGCCTGACGCTGAGGGGCGGGGGCTGACTGGCGTTGGGGCGCTGGGCGAGACTGGCGTTGGGGGGCTGGGGCCAGGTAGGCACGGCTGGCCTGAGGGGCTGGGGCAGCCTGGCGGAAGTTGTTCTGGGCAGGGGCGGCCTGTTGGTGGTGGTGATGGCTCTGGGCCGGGGCAGACTGTTGGTGGTGGTAGTGGTTCTGGGCCGGGGCCGCCTGTTGGTGGTATTGATTCTGGACTGGAGCCGATGGGGCTGCATGGTACTGCTGGGGAGCGGCAGGGAGGTAAGTCGCCGAGGGTGCGCTCACCTGGACGTTCTGTTGCTGTTGTCACAAAATCGTAGAATTCATAAGTCACGTGTTCACGACCATCTGAACGATGTACTCGTGATTTAATCGCGGGATTAACTCACCGTGGACTGACCATGGTGACCACCGCCGATGGGGGTTCCAGCCTGGTGGTTTGGCGGCCCGTAGGCGTTGGATGGCGCCGATGATGAGCCATGGTGATGGTGATGGTAATCAGTTCCGTACCGCGGGTCACCCGGGAGAATGTCTCGCTTCACCTTAAGAGCGGATGCGCTCAGAGCTGTGCCGAAAAGGCAAATCTGGGCGACAAAAAACCGGAAATCGACGGTTTTATTTTTTCGAGAGAGCGTGAGTGTTATCGGTTGGGGGAGAAATCCTATGGGTGGGAACGTTTGGGGGAGTATAATCATAGGTCGAATCACTGTTATTGAAGACAACCTTTTGGGAATTAACGAGACGAAGCTTTGGTTTCGAATTTAGTGAAGATTTTGGGAGGAGGAAAATGACTAGCGTCAGCGCCCAGTAGGTGGTGATCGACGTTAGTAACAAATGGTAATTCGTTAATTGAAGAATTAATTAGTGTCATTATTAATGAGTTGACTAATTTCTCAATTATTTACCGTTTCATTATGGGATGAGGTTTAATGAATTGAATCTTACTGATACTCTCTAATACTTCTTTTCGTTCTAATACACTTAGTAACGAATAAATCGAATAATTTTTCATCAATTTATTGAGGAAAAATTAATTGATGTCATTAGTAATGAGTGAATTCATTAATCTCTCATTTTACATGAACGAAGTCTTTTTATTGATATTTTTGATACTTTGATAGATCGAAAATAATGAATAATGACAAAAATTGGAGCCGAAAAAATCACTTATTAACGAATAAATTCACTAATTTATTATCAAATAATTGATTAAAAAATTGAAGTTAATAGCTGAAGTTCGGGAGCATTTGATTAGTAATTAACACCACTGATTAACACCACTCACCACTAACGAAAGAATCAGCTTCATGTTTATCGGTTGATGTTTCGTTGAGAGTTGAGTACCTTCGAACAGTCATCCCGATCTTTTATATGAATCCGATGCTCCCTTCTTCACATGTCGAAATTCTCATGGCATTGGCAAGAACTAGATTTTTTCATTCGACTTTTTCTCCGTCTCCTGCCTGACCTCCCCCACGCGCCCATCTTCTTTCTCGAGGTCCCCCAAATACTTTTTGGGAGAGCATCCGATGGGCCGCGATCACCGACCGTAGCTTACCAACGCCGACACGGTCCCTCTTCCTTAATTTTTCTCACATTTTTTGTTTCATTCACGGATATGATGCATCATTTCCCGATTTCTTGTTAAGGTATATCCCAAGACAATAGCACGTAAAAGTTTGCCCCTGTGGATTTTCGGAAAAAATTCTAAATGATTTACTTTATTGCATTCTCATAAGTTATTGAGGTCTTCTATCCTCAATAGATTATATTTTTTGAATCTCACGCCATGAATTTTCTGAGTTTTCTTTACTCAATTTTTTATTCTTTTCATTTGTAAAATTAATATATCAATAAATTAATTATAATTATAATTTATCCATAAATTGTAATTATAATTACTGATATTATTATTAATTATTAATTAATTATAATTTATCAATAAATTAATAACCAATAACGATGCCAGTCGTTAACTTATGTGAACAAATCCAGATGTCATATATTAATTTGGATTAATTACATGAGCATTTGTATCGAATTAATTTCCACATCGACATGATAAAACAATTGATCAATTCCAACTCAATAATTTCAAACAGATTTCTGCAAAGCGCGAACATTTGAATATTTTCCTCGACACTTGGAAAATTTCAGCACCACCGCACACGTCTATTTAAAACTGCGGGAGGAGGTTGCATACACCGAGAGAAGTAAATTATTTTCAATGGCTTAAATCTAAGAATTCTCATTTATCGTTATCGTTCCATGTTAGATCATAAATATATTTCATATCGAAATATTGGAAGTGCATAAAAAAATCAGGAAAACAATAAATACTTGAAGTTTGACGATTCTTCTACGCGATTTGAGTGAGTTCATTTCCGACAAAATGATACTTGAGTACAAGAATTGAGTAGAACATTCAAGAAAAATTACTTGTCTCAAGTAAATATGTTTCAGATATTAGAATTTTTTTCTCAGAGTAATTTCTAATAAACCTGGCGCAAAGAAACAAATAGAATCGTTTAATCGAATTCTAAAATATCTTCAACAGAATTCCGTAGAGAAAGCGCTAGGCTGTTTTATTGAAGCTTTTAATGAATGCATTTATAAACAAAGATATTGTTAATTAAAGAAAAACAGAAATCGTTTCACTTCGTCCCGCCGCTCCCCTGGACGAACCTGACCGTTTTATTCGCTCTAAATTGCAAATACTTTTATCAGGCAATGCATTCTCACGAGTCCCCACATGAAAGCTTTAATGGACTGCGTTAATACCGAGAATAATCCTTGTAATATCCATTACCCTCTCCTTCGAGGGTACAATTATCATAAGCGTTGAATGGCCCAAAGAGAAGGACAACAAAATCTTCGCAGCGCATGAACTGTCATTCCGAATAATTTCCGTGTACCCGGTGAAGATACATAACAATATTTTTCATTTCTTCAGACGAAAACTTTCCAAAAAATATTTTCATCAATCCATGAGTGAAGATGACGCTAATGTATTGGGGATAGAGAAAGTTTTCTCGTGGATTTGAAAATACACCGATGAAATATTTCCCTTTGAACTTTAAAGTGAACACAGCTATTTCCCACTGATATTTTTTCACCGTTGAATTCTCGTAAACGTTTCGGATTGATACTTTGACATTCGTTGAAGCGCAGGTACGAAAAAATTTCGTGGAAAGTCTAGCGCATTCGCTTGAAAATTCCAGTGAATCTATTGAAAATTCTATTAGTTTTTCGGTGATTCTACACTCGGAGAAAAAATTAGTTCTACCGAAAAATTATAGGTCCCCCTGTAGAGATCTTTTGTCGTAATGAATCAATTTACTCGTGGACAAAAAAGAAATTTTCGTAGTAGTAATTGTTCTCGTGAGACATTTATGTCTTTCGGGTAAATACATTCGTTCTACAGAGAATTATATGAGGCTCCGGTTTTATCAAGTCAATCTTATTGAGTAGTGTATATCTTTGTCCAATGAATACTTATAATTTCCGGGGAACAAATGATAATGTCAAGAGGATACTACAATTTTCTTGCCGATAACTGTGTTATTGGCAAAACTAAATGATTCCGAGGGGACAACTTTTTTGGGAAAAAATATTCTTTCCTCGTCAATGCATTCTTTCTACGGTATAAACCTATGTAGTTCTCTCAGATCAAATGATTGTCGTTAAATAGATTATACTTTTTCCTGCCAACAGTTGGAATTCTTCTAGGGATATTTCTGATGATCACGACAAAAATTTTATTTTCGTGAAAGATATTAAAGTCCCTTTTATCAAGTTGAGTCCTTTTCCTCAAGTAAATCTGTTCCACTCCATCAATTAATTTTTTCATGAATTGATTTTTTGCATTCATTAAAGCTAAAATGCACACAAAAATTGTCAATGTCGAATAATTTTTTTTTGGATATTTCAAATTTATTTTAGCTCGTTGCACTCAACGACTCAACAAGAATTCATTAATACAACTTCAACATGAGCGAAAGTAGTCGCATTTAGGGAAATTAAACCGGAAATCGTTCGACAATTGACAATAATTTTCTAAAATATTCTTAAGAATTATCGATGTCCATAATCCAGTTCAAGAGAATATCCCATATCCTCCATTCGAATTTCACTCCATTGAGATAATAACTCAAGATAAATGTTTTCATAATAATCGTCAAGTACCGTGAAGCACTTACAGAACACTTATAGCCCCCAGTCTGGGCCCAATTTCCAAACGGGACATGGGGAGTCATAATGAAGTAATCGTGACATTCTTGCGTGGAGGCATTCTCGGCCGTGATCATTATTGATAACATACTTGGAAATATCGTCATGAAATCGTCGTGGAAATCAAGGACTTGACGTTTTTCTTTTTGACAACGATTTCTTTTAAATTTAATAAACGTTATTTGCATCTAATGAATAGTATTTTCAGCATAAAAAATATTCTCCTGAGCGAAATACATTCGTTTTGCCGTCTCCTATCACGATGAATAAAAATATGAATACACTTGCGTATAAAATTCGATCGATTCACTAATTCCTGATTTAAAAAACATCCTCATTTAATTGATGATCAAAAAGACATCATCATTTAATCGATGATTCTCGCATTTACATGACTTGAAAGGGAATATAACACTGTGTTCTTGTCTAAAAAAATTGTCATTAAATTTTAATGAAACGATATAATCTAGCGGCAGCAAGTTTTGAACTCGCAACCTTCAGATTGCGGAACTGATACTCTTACCAATTGAGCTACGACATGTCTCTTGTGCTCTTGTCTATTTTAATTATAGCTCCATAGGTTAAAGTAGCAAGTTGGTAATTTGAAGGGGTGAGTGCTCAAATCCCTTCGTGGGCATTACTCTTGATTTCATTACTGGTTCTTTCAATTAAATATTGAAATAATAAAACTTTATGTTATGCCATTATTCGATAACGTACGACATAGCGAGGCCTATAAGGCCCTCGGGTGATGGCCAGTCACAAGTTTCCCGTGACGAATTCTGTTGAAAATGAAAAATAAATATGTTATAATTCGAATTGAAAAGGCCGCTTTTCATTCAAAAAAGGTGTTGCTACAGCTGAAATAGAAAAGAAGGCAAATAACTCGTAATGTAACGGTGAAATGACAGAACATATTCATCAATTAATTCATCAAAAATTGTAACAAAAATAGACAGCATCAGTCCGTAAACACAATGTTACGTAAGACTGGTTCAGATCCTCATTCTCCGAAATACTCACGTGATGCCGACGATTCACTGATGGGTTTTAAATGGTTCAAACTTGTTCCGGGGCCCTCTCATCTCCGAGATTACATGCCAATAATGCAAATTCATAACTGATGGAATATTAAAGAATTCTCTGAATGTCATGAAGCGAGGCCATGCCACATATAGAATGCAGATGCATAATTACCATCTATCCTGAGGCAAATTTTTGGGATAGATGATCATGCTGATGAGCTTGAAACTGAATAACATTCCGGGAGTATTAGGTAAACGAGAGAGATTAGAAAACTTGATTTGTTTCGAGGGAAATTTCGAAATAACGTGTAGTTGGAGACGATAATTCTTACACATACATCTGTTGGATTCTCGGGCTCATCCTTGAAAATCTGTTTGTTTTACGATTTTTTTTCCAAAAATATTCGGATGTGTCGCAATAGAAGAATGTCCGATAGAAAAAAAAATCGGTGATTGAAATTTTTCTACAAAATTTATCTGATTTGCTTGAAGTTGAAAAATGTCTCGCGATGGGTTTTCATATGAGAAAAAAATTCAAGAGGATAAATTGAATTGAAAAAGCAAATCTGTTGATTTTTTTCTAGATATTTTCTTATTCAATTTGGTAATTAAAATCAATACGAAATATATAAGAGAAAAAATAGAATTTCCAAAAGATAATTTCCTGACGAATGCGCAACGATTTCCTCAAAAATTTATTCGTACGTGAATTACCATTGGTTTCCTAATAAAATCCCGAAATACAAACGTATTTTTGGAAAATTTAGTTTTCAATTTATGTTCAATTAATTCAATAATATCGCAATCAAGCCTACCGTTGGGTGCGATCAAGGCCGGTGAATTAAAGACATCTTTGAATTAAGATTCCTCAAGTGTCATGAATTAACGAAATATCCAATTCTCTGGAGCCGTCCCCGATTGGACAATACCCCCGCCGGTAATTCGTTATTGATAGCGTCTTTTCACTGTCTGCATACGCGTCCATTCTTCCCCGCTCATAATTGCATTTTTATATCTGGCATTGAAAAATCGAATTCTGCTTGATGAGTTACCATTCAAATCTTAATTGCGGCTTACTGAGAGCAGTTTCAGGAATCGGAGAGCAAAAAATACCGAGGATTTGTTTCGGTACTGACATTGAGATTGCGGATTAATGAAATAAAATTATTTGATTTAAAAAAAATCCATTTTCACCGTTAAAAAAAAAAAAGATTAACTCATATATTTATTTCTATGAAAATATTTCAATCGTATGAAGTAATTAATTCATTTCTTCGCTGTTTAAACAAGAGATTTTATTTCCAGCGAATGTGTTTTTATATTTTGTTTCTGGTCGATTCCATTATACAACTCATTCTATTGAAATAGTTTTCATAAAAATTCCTCTGTTTAAATTTTCCAAGTTTTTTGTTAGATTTCTTCAATGAAAAAATGAGAAAAAAAAGTGGGATTTTTTTTCTCTTTATTTATCACAGCTATTTTTGCTAATAAATTAACAATTATTGCATGTCATTTATCGTTTTACATCATCTTGTTCAATTAAATTGTATTTATTTTTTAACGGGATCGGCCCCGCGGACTACGCAGACGCCCTCTCATCTCTTCAGCTAGTGGCGCTTCGATTTCAGTCTTACACTAATTTTTTCGTGCGTGAACCATTTCTCTCAGAAGAATTGTCTAGGCTGTTGGGTCTCTAATAAAGAAATATCAATTATCATATAGAGTACTATATGTATTATGAAATATAATGCAGATAATAATAAAAAAAATAAACTGATAACAATAATAACATACATTGAGTATACAATATCGTGTTATATTACATATACCATTATATATGCCTAAAGCATTATAATATAGTATAGTATCGAATATAATATAATATAGTATTATCATAATATCTGTAATGTATGTTATCATCACTTATAAAAAACCTAATGACACAATACGCCGAATAGATTGGTTTCAAAAAGCGTTACACTGGATTTTTTATGAAGGGAAAATGCCCTCTTGTTTATTTAAAAAATCGGGAAAACATTTGCCGTGTCGAGTGTCTGCCATTTTGTGGAGCCCGATTGCCGCAGCAGCGCCGTGGCGCACTGAGTAACCTTCAAGGCTACAATGCTGGTCAGCGTCTTGTGCAATCCCGAGAAGACTTATTGTTTTTCAATGAACCTCCGCCTGAGTCGATCACTGAGATCTACTCAGTCCATTCCGTCGTGACCTTTAACCACAGAAATGATGAATGATTTTGTCATTGTTGCGAGCGATCATCGCTGATGATCAGGATTGATTACGGTCTCGTCAGAATTTTTTCTCCCGAAATTGGGGAACAGATGAGTTTCTCACGAAACTGCACAGAAAAAAATAATGAATGATCAGTCACTTCGGGAGTTGTTTCATCGAAGGACTTGCACACTTTTCACATGAAACGTCATACATTCTAGCTATTAATAGACGCAAAGAATCAGCTTCACTCTCGTTTCTGCTGACCAGTCGGAGATGACTTCCATCAGGTGGATCGAGTTCTCAAGTTTGAACCCTTTCTCCGGTGAGTGAAATGGAAATTGATACATTCATGCTAACTCCAGCCACACCCCTTTCCAATGTTACGTCTCTATATTCTTTCTCCGATTAATCTCAGAGGCGTGGGGCGTGTGCGGAGGAAATTTCCCTTTCAATTCGAGTGGGGAGCGCACGGGATGAGCAAGAGGTGCAATCTTTTCAAGATTTTCAGAATTTTACAAATTTTTGTTCTCATAAAAATCACTAGATTATCTATAGAAAATCTATAGATTTTTAATAGAATTCTATAGATTTTCAATCGAAAATTATGATTGCTCATTGAAAATTGTATCAGTTTTTCGCCGATTGCTATTTTAAAAAATCCGCAGTTTCACCGCGCGTTTGTTTAAAAAGAAAATATTCGATAGAAACCATTTTATAGAAAAAAATCGGTAGAATTTGATCTTTTTATATAACTTTTCCCTATTCAGACATTTTCCATAGGAATTTGTCGAAATAAATTTTCTATTTTTTGTCCACTAAATTTTTCTCCTCTTTCCATTGAAAAAATAAAACACAAAAACTTGGCAAATTTGAGCCACGGTCTCCTACCCAAAATATCTCAATAGAATAACTTGAATAGAAAAATCAAATTCTATTGTTTTTTTGTATACAATAATTTCTATTGGATATTTTCATTAAAAAAATGCAAAAACCTGTGGAATTTTTTCAATTTTCTTTCTCGCCGATAAACTTGAACATAATTGGGGGAGGGGGGAGGGGAATTATAAAGAAGTATCTCGATCTGAAAAATATTTAGCAAAGAAAGGCTGAAAATTAAAAATTTTAATTCGCAAAATTGTTACAAATTCTTCGGATAAAGAATCACATTCTATAACATACTTGTTTTGAATATCAATCAACACTTGTCTATTTCTGACCAGAAATGTGAATTTCAGGGACATTATGAATACTAATAAACCGTGAAACAATTTAAACTAAAAAATTAGCCAGAATTGTACATTTTCCATGAAAATTCACCAGAATCCAACCCGATTTCGGCGAGTGGTTGAATTCACATCAACGATCACCGCATTTCCAGTCTAAATGCCCGAAAGATACCGCGTCACGTATAAATATCCTGGAATCCTTTCACCGATCCGTCCAATTCCATTACCACCTTCTAAAATTCAGCTCCACTCATAAAGTAGATGCAATCCGGAAACCCAACGACGAGAAGACCCATAAAAACTGGCGACACAACTTAATCAATTTTAAACACAAGTACATCCACCAACAGGGACACTTAAACCCCCTCAATTCCCCGATTGAAAAATCCCACGCGATCGATCTATTCAAACAGCTCAACCGCTCGAAGAAAGGAAGAGAATTGCGGGGGAAAAAATTAAGGAGCAACAACAGTGAACATAGCGAATGTCAGTGGCACCAGGAAGTGATTGCTTTCATCGTGAACGTCAGTGAAGGTCCTTGTATATAAGTAACAGACTGCTCTCATTTGCAGTACACTTCCTCTCATTGATTTCCAACAATATCAGCGTCATGAATATCCTGAGTACCTCAATTCTGACAATAGCATTTGTCATGGTGAGTGCCTACGATGATTCATACGGACATTCCCACGGGTTTTCCGGGCACAAGTTGATATCCCAGTCTGTTCATCTCAAAGAAATTCCCACGAAAGTCGTGAAAATAACAAAAACCATTGCCGTCAAGGTTCCTGTGCCGTATCCTGTCAAGGTGAGTACATCAATCGAACTCCTTCGAGTTAATTACGTCACTAATCTTCAATCAATTATTTTTTTTATTGAGGTGCCCGTCCACGTTCCCGTGCCGGTACCAGTGAACCATCCCTTCCCGATCCCGGTTCCTCAGATTGTGAAAGTTCCGGAGCATGTGCCTTACGAAGTCTCCAAGCACGTCCCTGTGGAGCTGCCTCAGCAGGTACCACTGCTGCTGACTAAACCTCTTCCGTATCCGCAGCCGTACCCTGTGCCTCACAGTGTCAAGATTTCCCAACCACTGCCATATCCAGTACCTCATATCGTTCCCTTTCACACGCATGAGGAATCGAGTCACGGCGAGTTGAATCATGTCGATGGGGAGTCGCAACATGAGGCGTCCCATTCTTATCAGCGCAGTGCACCGCATGAGGAGGAGGGAGAGGGGAAGAAGTTCGATGCATCGCAGCCCATTGTTGTTCAGCCGCACGAGTGATTTCTCAGTGATGCTCGCATCCTTTGTAAATAAATTTTTCATGCTGTTTGTTTCTTTCTCTTGTTGTTACGATTGATGCTGGTGATATTAAAGTTTTTGATACATCATCTGTTGGGACCTGATTATTGCCGATTATTTCAGTGTGAATTTCGGTGTGAATTTACCCTCGATCAATCGCGCTCGGCCGCCTGCCTTCATCCGTCGCACGATTAGTGCGGCCGCTGGGTTGAAGCGAGCGCGCTGTTGCCACGCTGGCGCTTAACGCTATGCGCGCATTTCAAGTGCGGCAGTAGTTGTAGCAACACTGCCGCTCGAGCGGTCGACGGAGACGCACTTGCGCCGGGCGACGCGGCGCCGCGTTTCTGTCCTTTCGTCGTTTCTTTTATTTCTAACTAAACAAATTTCCCGAGAAAAAAAATGGACAACGCCAACGCTTAATAAAAGGATTGATCTGGGAGCTCTAAAAAAATGAGAAAATTCATCTCGACAAATCCTAGTGATTTTTTCCATTAAATTGTTTCTATTGAACATTTTCTATAATAAAAAAACCCTGCAGTAAAGCTGCGGAATTCTTTAATAGAATCAACCAGAAACTAATAGAATTTTGAATAGAAGTTAAATAGAATTTCTTTGATCTTTCATTTATTTTATTAATTTGAGTAATTAGTGAGAGCGATAATGACCTAAATGGCTGAGGAATTCGAGTTTTTAAAAATGTGAACGGTTGAATAAATTTCCGTGTCATTAGAAATTCAAAAGAAATCCATTAGGATTTTCTACTCAATTCGCAAGATTTTTCTCTGAAATTCTTTCGTACACGCGTTCCTTCCCCATGCAGATTCCTGCCGAGATTCGTGTAAGAAATTCTCCAGGTTCACTTCATTACCGATTGACGCTTTCCTAGTGAACGGAGCGTTCGATCTGTTCAGTGGTGACATGCGCGGGATAATTCCGAAGTCTCCACTCGGGATAAATGATAATATTATGGATTCGAAGCTCATTAATTAGTCGAGTTAATGTCATGAACATATATCGCCGTATCCAGCTCATCGTCATCATCATCATATGTTAGATACATTTTATTATATTTTATATTTGATTACACGCATGAAAAAATGCTATAGAATTTCCTATAGGATTTTTCTGATAGGATTTCCCACAGGATTCCCTATAGAATTTCCTCTCCGATTTATGACCCTAATCCTGACCCTCGTGATCGATTGGTTTCGAGTTTCAATTTTGTGTGTTACTTTCTATACAAAACCCTATAGTGAATCCTATAGGAAATCCCGTCAGAAAAATCCTATAGGAAATTTTCGAATTCTCCATAAGATTTTTTCATACGTGCATACATATAATATAATATATCAAACAATCAAATAATATAATAATATTTTTGTTCATATTTGATTCATATATTAGAGATGATCTTTGAAGGTATCACGTCATTTAATCCTGGTAAAAATGGTCCTCGATAAATTAATCCTGCAAAATGATCCTAGTCAAATTGATCCTAATGCGATATGGTCCTGTTCATAATCATCCTGATCGAAATGATCCTGGATGATTTGATCCGGAGATTGGAAAACTATTGAATGTTGTTAAAAGTTATGATAGAAATGATATTTTAAAGTATCTCAAGAGAATTGCTTATAATATTGATTTTTGATTTGTTTCAAATAGCTTTGATTGTTTATTGTTAAAAAATTGGTGTAGGTGTTGCTTTCAATAACTTAAATGTCTGGATATAATTATTTATGATAACGTAATTGATTTTCTACATTCGTTACGAATTGATTATTAAGATTGTGTTGTTTTTTTTATGTTCCATTCGACAGCATCGACAGCAGTTCAATTGAATAAATAAGTCAGTGTAATGTGTTGAGTATTTCTCGTCGATTTTGCTTTTCTTTCCCTATTTCTCCTCATTTTTTGTCGTAAAGTTTGGATTTTGATTTTTTTTGCCGTGGGATTACTTTTGCAGGATTTTCATTTCAGGATTAAATTGGTCAGGATAATTCTTTTCAGGATTTTTTCACCAGGATTAATTTGTTCAGGATCAATTTTCCGGGATTAAATGACATGTAACCATCTTTGAACACTGATGCATGTCCAGAGGACAATGATCCAATAATATCCCGCAATCATCAGACAATCCACCGTTGCTCTCAAAACGAAGAATAAATGGACATAAGAAAAAAAATATTTATTGCACAGAAAGTGGTTGACACCACGCATTCAATACTTGTTCATACTCCAGCAACATAAGAATACTTGAAGAGATCAAAGCTCTCAATTAGTCAACGATTTAACGCTATGAACACAGTCGCCTTGTCCAGCTCCCACTCCCCATCATTGGACGATCCGCCGTTGCTGCCCGACATTTCAGCTGGCCTCGGCAAAAGTTGTTGGAATGCTCGTCAATTTACCAAGAAGAGTATGATGAGTACCCGGAGTCCCAGGGGTCGGCGTAAAGAGACTGATGCTTTTCCACGATGATGGGCTGGGAGACCGGGACAGCCACGTGCTTGACGACCTCCACTGGATAGGGTTCAGGCACTCTCACGGGATACGGCGCTGGAACTGGCACTTTGACGGGCACCGGTACCGGACGATCGACTGGAACCGCCACATGCTTGGTGACCTCCACGGGATACGGTTTGGGAATATGGACTGGATATGGACGATCGACAGGCACTGCGTACGGCACCTGTTTCGACACAGCGAATGAATGATTATCATTAGCATTGGGCAATCTGTTATTCTAGAGCGCATGAGTGGAAAACGTCTAATGAAACGCGCTCGGCGAAGCGTGAAGCGCACAAATTTTCATCATTTGAAGGCATGTGTGCAGGTGCAGGCTAATTGCCTTGATCTCGTTGGCGATGGGGATTTCACTGAGAAGCTGTGACAATTCAGTAGCGAAGCGGTCAAACGGTTTAAGTCGATTTTGACTGCTCATGAGTTTTCAATGAATATCTCGCAATCTAAGGCAGATGGCGAAATTTTTGTAATGACCTTTTCGGTAGAGCATATTAAGAGCTTCAAAAAAGATAGGTATGAAAATTTCGCTGGCTCCCTTAGATTTTGAGATATTCTTCGAAAACTCAGCTAAGAGCGAAGTCGACATCAACCGTTTGACCACTTCGTTACTGAATTGTACTGTAGGGTATTTTTTCATTATTCAGGGAATGGGAGATGTATGGAAAAATTTAATACAGTGGATACTAAGATTTCTCTAGGTGATTATGTTAGATATGACCTTGAATAAACACCCTTCATCATTTTTCAATTTTTTCAAATTTGAGATTTTCTTACGTAAAATAATTTGGAATAATTCTAAATGTTAGTAATTGTCAATGAAGTTCATTGAGGGTCATATGTAGCATTATCATCCCACAATTCAACATAATAATTGTAATATTTGGAGAAAACTACCAAAAAAATAAATTTTTCTCCCAAGCAAATAAGTCCTTGGCAAAAATAATGTTTTTTTCTCAGTATATCACACCACTCCATACACTTTCTAGAATGTTCTGGACGAATCAAAAATTTTACAAAAAAATTATTCACAGGAATTTAAGATCACAAGATCATAGGAAGCATCAAGATGTCGTTATCACTTGAATTTCACTGTAGATAGCACTTGGATTACCTTAACTGGAATTGGAATGTGTTTCTCTATGGGGACAGCAATGGCGGGTCCCGGAACCGGAATCTCTTTGGTGATTATTGTTGACACACCCGAGGAGAATGACGGGAGATCAGACCAGCCGGAGTAGCTGGAGTAGCCGCCGAATCCGCTGTCCTGTCCGTATCCGTAACCCAGACCGAGGAGTCCGCGCTTGTCCTTTTTCGAGTCCTCAGGGGCCTTTTTCTCTTCGGCGAGAGCAAACGCCGTCAGGGCGACGAAAATAATAGCCTGAACACAGAAAGTTTATCAACTCCTGTGGCACGCGCGACGCAGAACTCATAATGAAGATATCACGCATGAAAAAATTTAATCGAAGAAGCCAGCGAATTCGATACAAAATTCTGTTGGATTTTTTTTATTGAACTTCTATTTAAAATTCTAGGAGCTCTTGGCCGATTCCATTTTAAACTTCCGCAATGTTATTACACGTTTAAATTTTTCTGATGGAATTGTCCAATAGACGATACTTTATAGAACACATCAGCAGAATTTCATTGTTCTGCACGAATTTTTCTGTAGGAATTTCTCGACGTGAATTACACTGAGAGAAAAAATTAGCTCTGTCGAAAACCTATATGGTCCACGTGAGAATATTTGATGGAGTGAAACAGATTTACTTGAGGGAAATTAACCAACTTGACAGAAGGAAATTTAATCTTTCACAAAAATTAAATTTTTGTCGTGATTATCAGAAATATCCCTAGAAGAATTCCAACTGTTGGCAGGAAAAAATATAATCTATTGTACGACAATTATTTGATCTGAGAGAACTCCACAGGTTTATACCATAGCAAGAATACATTGACGAGGAAAGAATATTTTTTTCTCAAAAAAATTGTCCCCTCGAAATTATTTAGTTTCGCCAATAACACAGTTTTCGGCAAGAAAATTGTAGTTTCCTCTTGAAATAATCATTTGTTCCATGGAAATTATAAGTGTTTATTGGACAAAGATATACACTACTCAATAACGTTGACTTGATAAACCCGAAGCCTCATATAATTCTCTGTAGAACGAATATATTTACCCGAAAGACATGTAAATGACTCATGAGAACATTTACTACTACGAAAATTATCATGTTTCGGTGGAAGCTTTCTTTTTGCCTACGATTAAATTGACTCAACACGACAAAAGATCTCCTCAGGGGAACACATAATTTTTCGCCAGAACTAATTAATCTTTTCCAATACCAAAATCAAATGAAAGTACTTAAAAAATTTTAATCGATTATTTTTCTATAGAAAAAATTTCAATAGTTGTACAGAAAAATCTCAGTCTATTGAATTTTTCTGTAAAACATTTTCCACTGAACATCGTAATAGAAAGAAAAACGCACAGATATATCGCGGAATTCTTCAGTAGAATCGGCGAAAAAATAATAGAAACTGGATAGCGAATTCACTAGGTTTTTCAATGAAAGTTTTTCGTACGTGATGCCGCACGGCTGAAGGATAATACCTTCGTTTGCATGTTGCTGTGACTTGGACAGGATTGCAACTGTGAAGAGCATCGCGAAGATGCCTTCTTTTATACCTTGATCGTGGAAACCCCCGGCTCTCAGTGGTGGTGTGTTCCACAGTTTGACTCCTCGTGTGTGTGCTCTCGCGAACCAGCGCCCGAAAAACATCGCGACACTGGCCAACAACCAAGAGTTTCTCACTTTCTTATGTAATTGTCAACTTGATGGTGACAAATATGTGTTACGAGCCCATTTATGCATGGGATGGCCATTCGCGATTTCCAGGAGTTGGAGATTTTCATGAAAAGCGAAATTTTGAAGAGAGAAAAATTGAAACAAGTGGGAAACTGCTGTCGTCTTCATATAGTACAGTATTTTTGCTGACAAATTAGCAATATGCTTCCGAATGGTCACTTTGGACACCATTTTCTCCTATGGTATATAATTCATTGTTCATTTTATGTTATTCAATCGAATGAGATTGATTTTTAAACAATTGTGACAGATTTTCAACTTAACTGAATGCTATCATGATCATTATTTTTATTATATTTTCTAATCACGTTTCGGTGTTTATATTTTCGTTCAACGGTTTCCTAGTTATTGAAATTGGCTTTTTTATCGGCTCTGCATTCCACAGGTTTGTCGTCTACATATGCCACGTTTAGGCCATTGTTGTCGATTATTATCAATATATGATAGAAAATTCGAAATTTGTAAAAATCATCATGAAAATAAAATCAACAGATATAGCTATCGTAATTATCGTTCAACTTCGACAGTGTGGCATTGAAACTAACATTTTAAGCTATAATTGAATTCATTTGAAGCATGATATCTCAAGATATCCCCGGAATTACGATTTTCAAAAAATACCAAAATTTTGCAAATTTTTGTATAACTTGAAACAACGAATATTGCTGTCGCCTTCATCTTCGAACTCGGCCAAAAGGGCATCCAAACAATTTTTTAAGCCATCATTCAATGAATTCAGAACATTTTTTTTAGTTGTCGTGGGATAACCAATTTTTGGAAAATTCAAAAATTGAGGAAATTATTGAGTGAATTAAATTTTGATTAATGTCGATGGACAGGGCTGCACAATATCTACATTTGAGAGAAAAAAAAGATTCAATTTTGGATCATAATGGGTCGATATAACACAAATCGTCCGAAACTTAAATTTGAACGATTACAAATTCTCCATTTGGAAGCAAAAACAATAGAGTTTTCTAGCGAATTCGCTGGATTTTTGTATGAAATTTTGTCGTACGTGTACGGAACACCCGTAGAACACTCCGTAAGCCTAAAAACTTCTTAGAAATCAGCTCCATCGCGATTTCCCTCGAAATTTCATTATGCTAATATAATTTGCATTATGAACCTGTTCAATTTCGAGACGAAAAATGTCACATATCACCCCAATTACGCAATGTAACCTGTTCCCGCAACGATCTAGAATTCCGAAATTTAAGAAATTTAGGGGAAAAAAATCGCTTGCCAAATCGCGAGTATAAAGTGCCAAAGACATTCGCTGCTGTCGCTTTCCGATCGCATGTCCACGTCGCGACGCATTCACTTCCCTCGGACGTGGCCATTGTCACCGGGACATCGCGGAACACCGAACAATAGACCGATACCGAAGTAGCAGAGTACTCAAACGAGTCTCACTTGTGCCACAAAAACTCTTTGTTAAAAATTATCAAAAAAGGATTTTCTTGCGGCGAACGTGCGCCGAGATTAAAAATTTTTATTGCAAAAATAGATTTAGTCTTTTCAAAAAAATTCTCTGTGAAAACAAGAAATGTCATTTCTAGCACTACTTCCTCGTTTTTCTCCCGGCGAATGCTCGTTTTGTATGAAACGAGGGATAGTCGTTTGCCGCTTCGGCTATTCAATAATCGCAGACAAAAAATGAATTCAAATGTAATAATAATAATTATATGACAGCAATCTTGTAAGTTAGCGCAATTATTCATGTTTGATACTTTCAAATTCGAATCAAATAATTATTTTTTGGTAATTTTCAACTACCGATTTTGCTGGTCCAAACAAAATTTGTTTGAGAACTTTTATTCTTCCCTCAGTGTGCGACGATTATCGATCTCTCGAATTGAAAAATTAAAATTTACTGCAACACATCAGGTGTCGCGAGGTCGAAGAAAGTCGGGGCATTTCGCTCAGCTCTCCTTCGTACTTCTGACAATGGCAGTTGATAAAAATAAACAACATGTCATTCTGCGTTGTATCGCATTATGAGGGGCCATAAAATCCGCGTGAAACCCACACACGCTCCGTCCCTCCGAATAAAAGCCTATTTCTTTTAATTGGCTCGTCTTATCTTGTACGTCATAAATTTTCTCGTGAACAAGTAGCCGGTCATCTGCGTAATACCTCTCAACAATTTCTCAGAGTTAAGAAATTACGAATTTTTACGTAAAATTTTCCATTCCGTTTGAGATCTGATGAAATGATGGGAACTCGGAGGGTATCTCTTTCATCGCGTAATCAATAAATCCGTTATTGGTTACTTTTTCGCGATTTTATGGGTTTGAAAAATTGAGCAATCGGATAATCGTGGGTATCTGCCGAGCCTTTTCACACGGTTTATATGTGAATGGGCGCGGGCGGTGGGATATGTGCAACTGTCAAGGCCTCACACTCCGGGATCCCGGGTTCCTCTACTGGGCACCATGCAGAATAATCTGTGATCTGTATCGACACGAGAAATCACTTCATTTTAAATTAATAATACGATGACAATGTTTTTCTGGCCACTGAGGGGAAAATTAGTCGAAAACTAATTAGAATTAGTCAATTTCATGGCGGACAAAAAAGAAAGTTTCCACCAAAATATGATAATTTTCGTAGTTGTAATTGTTCTCCTGAGACATTTATATGTCTTTCGGGTAAATACATTCGTTCTACAGAGAATTACATGAGGCTCCGGTTTTATCAAGTCAATGTTATTGAGTAGTATATATATTTGTCCAATAAATACTTATAATTTCCGGGGAACAAATGATAATTTCAAGAGGAAACTACAATTTTCTTGCCGAAAACTGTGTTATTGGCAAAACTAAATAATTTCGAGGGGACAATTTTTTTGGGAAAAAAATATTGTTTCCTCGTCAATGTATTCTTTCCATGGTATAAACCTGTGGAGTTCTCTCAGATCAAATGATTGTCGTAAAA